TCTCCAGTGTACGTACACCTCAACCTGCATGCATGCATGCATGCATGCATGCATGCAGGTTGAAGTGTACGTGCATGCATGCATGCAAAGTATAGAAAAAGTAGACGCATGCATGCATGCATGCATGCGTCTACTTTCTATATCTGTTGAGGCACTGAGATATAACAAAATAATAAATGAATATAACAACAATCATCGTTGTTATTATATGATCATCGTGAGCAGCAACAGAAATAAAAAAACAAAAAAATATTTATCTTGTCTCTTCTGTTTTCTATTTTTTTATTTTTTTTGTTTATAATAATATACTTTGTAATCTCCGTTTATTTTATTTTCTCTTTCCCCTGCCTTGCATACAATACAGAGTTTTTATTATATTTTACTTTTATATTTCTCTCCTCATATACATACACAACTGCAGCAGCAAAAGAAAAAAAAAATAAACTACGCCTGGCTCTATGTCTCAGCTGTATTTACACCCCAAGGGCAGCGAGTCTGCAGGGGAGGAAGCCGAAGAATTCTCTTTGTCTATCTATCTAACTATCTATCTAACTAGCTAGCTAGCTAGCTATATAACTAGCTAGCTACCTAGCTAGCTAGCTAGCCAGCTAGCTAGCTAGATAGCTAGCTGGCTCAAAGGATGTGTAGCTAGCTACTTTTGTGAAAGCTCGGAGTCTGAACGGATGGCGAGCTATGCCGCTGGCTGTCTAGCTAGCCAGTTAACTATACAGCTGAATAGCTAGCTAGCTAGCNGATGGCGAGCTATGCCGCTGGCTGTCTAGCTAGCCAGTTAACTATACAGCTGAATAGCTAGCTAGCTAGCGTATCTAACTCTTTATTATTTCAGTGTTTAAACATCTTTAAATTATATTCCTTAAGGGCTGAGATCAGAAAAAGAAAAAAACCGAGATGGGGCAATCGCTCAGGTGTATAGGCAGCTGTGTATATCGACGCAAGCACTTGCTCAGGTGTATAGGCAGCTCCATGCACCACCGACACAATGAAAACAAACTCAAAAAAGCAGAAATTGTGAATATAAAAAAATAAATTATGTTTTAAAAATATATATGGCAAAGAAAAATTCATAAAATTACAGAAATAGAGGTGGTGCAGCAAACCACTCTCAGGTGTATAGGCAGCTCAT